ACTGACATAGAGTACAATCATGTGAGTGTGGGGGTGTGTGTGCGTGTTCCGTGTGTGATTCTCATTGAATTACGTTCTACGTATCTAATCTCTTCAATCATTAATATCTGATATTGTAACATGAAATTTTCCGTTAACAAATTCCTCTCACACGTCTATCATACATTCGAGTCAAATTGAAGGGTTCTCAGTCAACTTAGCCCTAGAATGATGTGGAATTCGGGGGTGTGGGATAGACTTACCTCCCCGTGGTGCACCCTGGGCAACGTTTACTCATACGACAAAAAAGTCTATTAACCGGCAGTTGACTTCAAACTACCATGACTCCGCTGTATGTCATATTTGATTACTTCCACATTACTCGCATCACCTTTTTTAAACCATTGTGTCTGTCTCTTTTACATCTATGAAACAATCTTTTTTTCTCTCTGATGTTCCTTCCCCTCTGTGGAGCCTGAAGTCCACTTAAGGGCTAATGATAACTATCAAAACGCCTGCCATTTGATATAAATAAACAAATGTGGAATTCTAATGACCACTAAATCTCTACTGACCAAATCTTTCTACCATCAATTTAATTCGCATTTGCAAAATTGGAGAATCTAATGATTAAAACTCATTAAAAAATATTTACGATAGGTAAAAGTAATGCACGTTAACTCATTGGTACAAACAATTGAAGCAACTCTGCAAATTTCTTCCGGTCATTTTTAGGGTTCAGATTTGAAACCATCCAAGTCACCAACTTGGTTCTGCCGCAATGATTTGTTGGCAAAAGATGAGTGTTATTTCTGGTCAACATCTTGTCAACTTCCTCTCGAGTAAACGAATAATGTGGATTCACGTTTCGAATGAACATGGGGTACATGAAGGGTAACTCAGACCATGGCATGTAAGTAATGAACATATCCACCTACAAGTTAATGTCCAGATGAACTTCGATTCCTGGGGGAGGGGGAGGCGGGGGGCGGGGGTGAAGTAGGTGTTCACGGTAAGCAGATATTAAGTCACCTACCAAAATTGCTTGAGTTTCATTAAGCTGCCTCATATGAACAGGACTTTCAGCCGACTCAAATGCTACCCATACGCCTCTTCTCTTTAGTTCCTCACCGCTAGCTGAGCTGAATGAAGCTGAAAAGACGGCGATGTCACCCGCCTCTAGTTCTTCCACGTCTTTTGTGTAAACGCATTTGAACCGACACCCTTCAGACTCAGTGACGTGATAGAGCAGACGTCTGTCGTAGAAAATCTTGACTGGTTTGCCCAAGGAAAGGTCACTCTTATGCTTATATTCAAGTACTCTTACCTTACCTCATTCTTCGAGTATTCTGTTATCCACTCCAGTTGATGATGCACATCCAAGTAGGGATACTTGCTCACTTTCGAGGAAATGAGTGGTGGATGCCTTTTTGACAAGTTAGAACTCGCGATTTGCCACAAGATGTAAAGAAGACAGATCGAGGTTGTGGCTTAATAGCACCCAAAGCATCTCGTTGGCATCTAGTGCGAAGTATGGTAAGTGGTGTGCTGTCGACTGCGAGGCAGTTGGGAGTGGGGAGTGGTGGGGGGGGGGAAGTGGTTGTGGATTGTTTCGAGTACTTTAGAAATTATTTACTAATATTAGATTTACCAATGCACTTTCTAATGAACCAATCATACATCTCCTCATTTCATCGATTCAAGCCGTTCCTTATAAAAAACGGGCTTCAGCATTTCTATATCCAACGCCTACAGATCCTGCGCGCCCCATTTACGAAAGATTTTCAAAAAAAAGGAATTTCCCCCACCCGTTGTTTTTAAGCAAATGATCATCAAGTATGAAATATTGTTCATTCCATCCACGCAATTCTTTCTACTCCACCCTACTTGAACTTCCCTCTACTTTCTACTCACAATTCAATTCTAAACTACAAATTCTATAAAACCCGTGTTTTGACCATAATCTTATGAGTCATTAATGAGCATAAAAATTTAAAGAGAGATAGTGACTGGTAATTGATGGTAGTTGGACAAGATGGGAGAACAGATCGTAGTATGGGAGGGGAGGGGGAGAGATTGACGTATTATTACTATCGCTTTTTGAGCATTTATTGAAGTTGAAAGATGTATTTACAGCACTCATGGTTCCACTATCAGGTAAGTTAGCATTCCACTTTTTTCGTTTTTAACCAACCAGTTTTTTTAAATCCCTGTACACAAATTGAGAATATTAAAAAGGAAAAGAAGGCAACGAATTTTAGCATTATAGTGGTATTTACATAAGAGGTGGTGATTGAGGAGGTGGAGGATGAGGAGAATGCGGATAGGAAGAGAGGGAGGGGGAATGGAACTATTGGGGTTGACATCAGGAAGCAGCTGGATGTGGAACTAGAGAAACGCTGCTTGGGGCGCCTGGTTGAGGGCGTTGATTGACAGTAGTTGAAGATAAGTTAGTGGAATTGAATATTTGAGTTATGACGAAGAATACATTGGTGTCGGATGAAAGTCAGATGAATTCTAAATTTATGAGGTAAATGGTTATGTCTATTTTCCATTTACTTGTAATTTTAATCATTTTCATATTTTATGTCGTCCTTCAATAGTGGTTGCATTGAAAAGTGTTTGTTATAAGAAGTACTTAATTGAAAGAAAACTTTTCTGAAAGTCCGATGTTGATATATGTCTCGCACTCGAGATTTGCACTGTTCTGCATGAATGTCCACTCACGTTGACTGATTGTACCGGACAGTGTAGTTAAATATGCTCTGGGCAATCACTGATAGATTCTGTTTTAACCTGCATCAAGAGTTTGAATACCTATTTACTACAAAGACAATAAAAAAATGCCCAAAATAAACTTGAAACTAGCGAGTCTGCCGTGCTTGTAATGTGGAGATGGTAATAATATTAGTGATATTGGCTGTTTGGTTACACCACTGAAGATTCACTGGAATTGCCCTTACAATAACGGGATAAAATGTCAAAGAGTTCGAACGTGTTTAAAACAGCTTGTGTTGTGATGGTGACGGAGCAATGAACGTGCTCTTTCGTGTGGGACAGAGATGACAGAGAATGCAATTCCCAACCGCCGAGGTTAAAACGAGTTAGTTTGAGACCAATGACCACACACGTGGATATCATTTTTAAAAATAAATTAGTAGAATCATCGTGAATATGCATGCCATTATCTGCGAAGAGATGCTAGTTGTGTAATAACTCAAAATTATTAAGAAGTTAACGTAGTTTTCTCGATCACAACGTGGGTGTTTAGGAAATATTTTTTCCGCCTTATCTACTTGTGTCTCATATTTCTACAATCAAAAAGAAATTATTGAGAGGATCAATTCTAATCATTGAAGATTGGGGAGGATCAAAGGCAGGAGGTTGTGAAGTGCCTCAAGCATCCTTACCTTCCCATTAAATTTTCTTCAATCCACACGTGAAAACGCGTAATAACATCAACAAGAACTATTCGCTTGTTTAAATCACGCGCACTCATGGCCGGGGAATTGCAAGGCTGATATTGAGTTCACGGTGTGCTTGGTTGGGCTGTGACTAAGCTAGTCAGTTCAACTCGTCACCTCAGTATCTGGTTGGCGAGGAAGTGTTTCTGACCGACGCAGGACTATTTTGGCATTGAGGTGAATATGCTTAGAGGTTGTAACATCTGAATTTGTTGTGAGATTGCTCTCTTGGCGACAATGGAGGTGTTAGCAGATGTGTGAGTCTAGAGTTGTGCAATGTGTTGCTCTGAGTCAGTGAAAATTGTGTTTCCCAGACTTGTGCGGTAGCACATCTAAACAAGAAAAGTTAGTTCACACTTAACTAGCGAAATAATTTTGTTTTACTTAAATTGTTTACTTATTTCAAATGACAGGCGTTTTGACAGTTATCATTAGATCTTTAGCTTACTTTGGGCTTCATAGAGTTGAGAAAAATCAAAGTGGGACAAATTCAAGAGAGGGGATAGAGGAGTGATGCACAGATATAAATGGACTAACAGACACGTAGGCAGAGATAAGGTAAGATGAGTATTGTGGAGTGGTCGAATAAGACATAGAGTGGGGTCATGGCAGATAGAAGGCAGAAGTCTATTAACTGCCGGTTCATAGACTTTTTTGCCGTATGAGTATACGTTACCCAGGGTGCACCACGTGGAGGTAAGTCTACCTCACACCTTTTCTTAAATTTTATTTCCATAAAATCATATTAGAGCTTAGCCTATCACCGAAATTTTATTTTTCACCATTCAGACGTTTTCATTGACTAGAATATATTTCACACAAAATTAAGCAGTGGACTTTTCTAAAATTTTAATATTAATTAGCACAAAATTAATTGATTTTAAAAATCTCAAAAAATGTATATGAATGATATTTTCAAAGGCCGTTTACATGTGATATCTAACCACTTATGTGGGTTAGTAAAGTATTTCAGTTATTGTATCCTATGCATACTCAGTTTGAGAAAAATTATTTTGTCATAACAAATTACAGTAATTTATATCTTGAATGAGAACGAAGTGAGGAAAATATGGCTCAAATTATTAGAAAATATTATAATTGTGGGACCCGTTATCGCTGTGTGCGTCATCGTATGCCTGCATGTCTGCTCGCCAGGATTGGGAGGTGCGACCGTACAACTCTGGGTGCAGCGATCGTACAAACAGTGACCAATCATTAACCTCTGTTTAACCTAATCCCCCAACCTGATCATGAGTAGCTCCCTGCGTGTACACTTTATACGCTATACTCGTACTGAATAAACGTGCTCCGTGCTACACGTCTGTTTTCTTTCATAGCTGGGCTATAGCTTAGCTGGTTCTGGGAGTCTAGCTAGATGTTGGAGAATCTGCCATAGAGATTTCTGAGTCAGTCAGGCTTTACTAGTGTAGCAAACCGCTACAAATTTCAAGAAAATATCATAAAGAAACATTTTTTTCTGATCAACCGCACAAACTTTTACTACAGAAGGGTTTCGGATTTCAACAAGATTACAGGCATTCTAGAAACACATAAATAAACCATAAAATTTTCCATAAATAAACCAATAATGAAAAATGCATTTGAATTTCGTTATTAATTGACCTGCGTTTCTCGTGAATACACAGAAGTGATTTTAATGAATGTTTAAAGGTAATTTCGCTGTACTCAATTAATCAATTATGGTTTAGTTGAGCCTCGTTTAGATTATCTATTTTAATTTAAATGCACCACACACATTTTGTTCGCTTTCATTATACAAAGGAAAGGACTAAATTTTGAATGAGCAAATCACTTTTTTCATAGAATTGAAACACAAATTACTTTAATATTTAGAGAAAAACCATCTTTAGCAATCTACATACACACAATTCTAATGGAATTTGAGCAATCCCAAATCGAACATGCCAATAAGTCCTGATGAAATGAATGGAAAATGTCAAATTGAATCTGGGTTAAGTAGAAGGAGATTGAAATATGGGAAGATATGGTACAATTTGGGTGGGGTGGGTGGGGGGATTTCGCATTCAAACATTTCATTCCAATTCAAGTGTGTCGCCTCAATTGGTTGCTCTCGCCTCCTCATTGAACGATGTGCTCCAATTGCTTAAGGAATAACTACGAAAATCGTGTGGGTGTATAGGTGACTGGGGCTCCTATTCGTGATGACGAGCTGTGTAAACGCATATATATAAGGGATGCCAATCGTTGGCATTAGCACTGGGCAATCGAAACAACTCAAGAATGTATCGTGCTCCTTTCCTTCTTCTACTTGCCATCGTGTGCCTCGGGGCTATTGCCAATGGAATGACAACGGCACGAAACAATACGCCAGGCCCAAACTCGAAGGCTGGAAATGACACAATGTCTTCAATACCAACAACCACCTCCTCTGGATCACTCGCCTTCTTCTCCAGTCTACTTCTACTTCCCTCCATCCTCCTCTCA